CGAATGTTTTTAGTACCTTTACTCAGGACAGCCCAAAACAGGAAATAACCTGAATGTCCAAATGCCCATCAACTGGTACAAGCCACTGAACATCCAGCAATATGGATGCACCTCAAAACCATCACGCTGAGCAAAAGGACTCAGACAAGAGTACATCTAGTATGATGTACTTACATAAAATTCTAGAAAGTGCAAACTACCATACAGAGATAGGAAGCAGCGCAGTGGTCACCAGGGATGGAGTGGGAAGTGATGAAACGTGGGGTGATCAGTATTCAGGATCTTGACTGTGGTGATTTCATGAGTGCATACAAATGTTAAAATCATAAAACTGTACACTTCAAGCATGTGCAGCTTACTGAAGGTAGACTATAACTTAAGAGAAAAGGTTTAAACTTAGACCATAAACAGAGCAAAAAAAAACAAATGAAAACAGAGGAAAGTATTTGTAGCTCAAATCACAAAAGATAAATTTCCTTAGCATCCCACAGATTTATAAGAGAAACACCCTGGCTGGTGTGGCTCAGCTGACTGGTCCCTTGCACCAAGAGGTCACAGATGCCGGGGTTGCAGGCTTGATCCCCAGTAGGAGGCATGCAGGAAGCAGCCAACTGACGTTTCTTTCTCCTCTCTCCTCCTTTCCTCTCTAAAATCCATTTTAAAAAAACACCCATATTTAAAGAAAAATAATAAGAGAAACAATTCAGCAGGTCCCAGCAATTTAGGCAGTGGCTGGAGGCAGTAGCCAGGTAGCCCAGCTTCTCAAAGGTTCCCAGCACACACCTGCCCAGTCTGTTGCCCTCGTGATGCCCAGGAGGAAGCTCAGCTCTGCCAAGGGGACGGTGAAGGAGCCCAAGAGGAGATCTGCCAAAAGTGGAAACAAAGCCAAAAAAAGGCAGCAGAAAAGGATCAAAGGCAGTGGGAAAGGATAGATTTGCAGACAAAAAAGTGAAGGGAAAAGGGAAGCAAAGGGTAAACAAGCAAAAGCGGCCAATGAGGAAACTAAAGATCTACCTATGGAAATCAGAGCAACTACACATTCAGAGCCCAGCCTCTGATGAAGCAGGAAGAAGCAAAGTCTGATGAATATCATATACCACATCTTGTCAGTGGTCCCTGTCTCCCTTCTTATACAATTCAGAGGAATATATTTATCAATTATTTCGTAAATGTAAGTTTCTTAATAATTCTAGAAACATTTTTAAGGAGGAATTCTACCTCATCCCATTTTTTACGTTTAATGCTTTTGATAAGAGGTGAAATCATTAGCTGGTTGGTTATATTTTGGTACAACCAGAAAACAGTGAGATATCAAATATGGGAGGCTTTGATTGTCTTGGGTGTCAGCTTAGCTAACATTCCAAAGATGGGGGTAGTGTTATATCCTATAATACAAAGCATACTAAATGGCAATTTTGAGTCAGTAGTACATTTAATATGTCTTAACATTTTGAATTACTTCTATTTCCATGTTTTTGGTAGAAATGTTTCCTAAAGAAAACCACTCCCTATCAGAATTTTCTGCATTCTATAACATCTTTGGGGTGGTAGTGCAGTTTTCTTAGTAACTTTGTCAATGTGCTGTGATGAAAATTTGATTTGGTATATATGATACTAAATTGTGAATTAGTGGTACAACAGTGTATTAACATTCAAAGATATTGGTACTTGATATTCTTCTTTTTGTTGTTTTTTTTAATCCTTACCCGAGGACATTTTTCCATTTATCTTTAGACAAATTAGGAGGGATGGAGGGAGGGGGAGAGAAAGAGAAACATTGACTGGCTGCCTCCTGCGCAACCAAGGTATGTGTCCTTGGCCAGAACTGAACCTGGGTCTCACTGGTCTGCAGGCTGATGCTCTAACCACTGAGTAACCTGGCCAGGGCGATATTCTTCTTTTTTTAAAGCTCTTTTTATTGATTTTTTGAGAGAGAAAAATAGAAACATTGCTGTAAGAGTGTAACATTGATCGGCTGCTTCCTGCATGCCCCCCACTGGGGATCAAGTCCGAAACCCAGGCATGTGTCCTGACCAGGAATTGAACCGGGACCTCTCAAATCATGGGAAGTTGCTCAATCCACTGAGCCACACTGGCCGGGCGGTACTTGATATTCTATTAAAAAGAATTTGTCTCCAAATTTTAAGCTGGAAGGTCACTGGAATAACTATTTAGGAAAAAATTACACCTATATGACATTTTAGGTTTTGGAACATACGCTAAGAATTGTGTACAAATAGAAATGTTTGTGTACTTATCCTTAAAACAATCAATGAAATTTGAATTATGAAAGAAAAAGAGAAACAATTCAACGACAACAAAAAAGGGTAAATGAAACAATTCAGATAAAAGAAAGCACCAATGACTTGAATATATTGAAGATGCTCACTCGTAAGAGAAATGCCACTGAAAGATACCATTCTCATCTATCAGGCTGCCTATGATTGAAAAGCTCAAAAAACGTTGTTGTTAAAGGTATGGGACTATAAACAGGTTACCATCTCTGTGGGACATCACTCAAAGCTACAAAGGCAACTACTTTTTCGATGAAGCAATTTCACCACTAGAATTCTGTTCATCCTACAGATAAATTTGCACATGTATAAAATTACTAAGTTCAAGGCCAGTCACTCCAGCATTACTGGTATTGGCCACAATGCTGGAAAGAACCTAAATGCCCACCTCTGAAGGGTCTGTTAAAACAAACCACGGCACACCTTACAGAATATTAAGAAGCTCTGAAAAAGAAAGGGGAGGTAATGTTTCCACAGCTAGAAACAGATCTCCAAGTTACAGTAGTCTGCAAGAAAAGGAAAAATGCAGACTAGCATACATAGTGAATATCATTAGGGCAAAGTTACATGTAAAGGGAAGAACATAGCCTGGCTGGTGTGACTCAGTGGTTGAGCATCGACCCGTGCACCAAGAGGTGGCAGGTTCAATTCCTGGTCAGGGCACATGCCCAGGCTGTGGGCCTGATCCCCAGTGGGGAGTGTGCAGGAGGCAGCCAATCGATGTTCTCTCTCATTTATGTTTCCATCTCTCTCTCCCTCTCCCTTCCTTTCTCTCTAAAATCAATAAAGAAAAAATTTTTTAATAAACACATAAAGGGAAGAACATAAACGTGTCGAGTTGTAAATGCATGAAGAAGTTAACAGGAAGTAAAAACAGCAGCTGCCTGGGGTAGGGACTCTCCTCACTAGGAAAAAGGAACGGGAAAGAAACTTTTCACTACGGTACACTTTTATACTTTTTAAACCATTTGCTTCATTATTTCTTCAAATAATTAAATTTTTAAACAAATTTTTTATTTCGGGGGTGACTGACGGCAGTCACTCATAGTGAGCAAACTTTGTATTTCTGGCACCCAAACCCCTCAGCACTGCTGTCAGAGCCTCTGTTACACACTCCTGTCACGAGTTTTTGTTTCTGCCCAAATTTAGAGCCCTGGGCTTCAGCCTCTCAGAAATACAAGTGTGCACGGCCGAGGCAGGGTTCATCTTCCCGTTTAGAGCCCTGGGCTTCAGCCTCTCAGAAATACAAGTGTGCACGGCTGAGGCAGGGCTCCATCTTACCGTTTTGCACTTCTACAGCATCTGAACAATGCCCCACACACAGAAGGGCTCACATTTGGTTAACTCAGTGAACAGTACTGGAACCAATAACACACAGCTGTCAAGTGTTCCCCATATACCTGGCACTATGATGATTATAGGAGAATGGTCAAGACCTAGTCTGTCAAATCTATGTTAGAAATGAACATATGAACGAACTCGCTGAGATGTCCAAAGAGACTGTTGCAATTCAAAAATGTTGGTTTAATAAGATTCCCAGAAATGTTTATATTTTTATTTTTAAATGATTTTATTGATTTCCAGAAATGTTTTTGAAGCATAGTATATTTATCTAATATATCTATAAGTAGACCTAATATATATAATATATACACCTCTGCTTGTAAAATCCATCATTTTATGTATCAGTAAGAAAGAAAACATAACCAAAATTGGGAAACTAATAGAAAACCCTGCATAAAATTGAAGGTAATTTAAAGATAAGGTTGTGCCCTGGCCAGTTTGACTTAGCAGTTAGAGCGTCGGCCAGCTGACCAAAGAATCATGGGTTTGATTCCAGTCAAGGGCACGTACCTCAGCTGCGGTTCAGTCCCCTGCCCTGGTCAGGGTCATGCAGGAGGCAACCAATTAATGTGTCTCTCTCACATCTATGTTTCTCTCTCTCTCTCGCTCTTTCTTTCTCTCCCTCCCTCCCTCCCTCCCACGCTGTCTAAAAATAAATGGAAAAATATCCTTGGGTGAGGATTTAAAATAAATAAATAAATAAATAAAATAAAGGTTATATGCCTTAAACTTACATAATGTTATATGTCAACTTTATTTCAGTTAAAAAAATAAATAAAGGGAGAGCAAGGAGACTTGCATGTCTTATCCTTGGGACTAGGTGGAAAGTGGGGAGGGAAAGGTCCTTGAGAACTTGAACTACCAGCCACACTACCAGTGTGGTCTCCAGTACCCGCAGGTGACCACTGGAAGCAAAGAGGAATTCTCTCTGGAAAAACCCAACCAGACAATAGCAACATGGGGCACCTCTGATTTTATGATGCACCTTGCCTTCCAAAATGTTAAGATATGGGAAAATGTGTGCCTTAAAATTGATAAAATATGGTCTTTACAATTTATACTAGAATATTCGGGTGCAAAACTTTCTTAAGCTCTTCAAACACTACTCCCGATTAAACATCCTTGAAGTTTCTCATGGCACTTTTTCTACTGGGTTATTTACAATACTTTCTGTGACTACAGTAATTTACATTAAGGCTTAAAGACAAACATTTGACAAATTTATGTGCTATTACATACATAAGGGAACAGTAAAACATGATGTTTTATCCAAGTACAAAAATCTATGAAACTAAGAAATGATCTCAATTTTAACCAAAATGGAAGATTTAACACTATTCCTTTCTCTAATTATAAACTTACTTTATTGCAGCCAACTTTTTGGACATAGTTCCCTCTGCTGGAATCTTTTAGAAGGAAAAAAAAAAGGATAAAAGAAAATTCATTATTTGAATTATTTGAAATATTACTTCAAATAATTATATCTTAATTAATTAAATTCTAAATATCTAACTTATATAATGTGATTAAAAACATTTTAAGAAGCCCTGGCTGCCCTGACCAGTTTGGCTCAGCAGTTAGAGCGACGGCCCTCAGAGTTCTGGGTTTGGTTCCCGCTAAGGGCACGTACCTCGGTTGCAATTCATCCCCGGCCCCGATTGGGGTTGTCTGGGTGGCAACCAATCGATGTGTCTCTCTCAGACTAATGTTTCTCTCTCTCTTCCTCCCTCTCTCCCTCCCACTCTATCTGAGTATAAATGCAAAAATATCCTCGGATGAGGATGAAAAAAAAAAAGCCCTGGCTGGTGTGGCTCGGGTGGTTGGGCACCATCCTGTGCACGATAGGGGTGTGCAGGAGGCAGCCGATCGATGTTCCACTCTCACAATGATGTTTCTCTTTCTCTCTCCCTCTCCCTTCCTCTCTCTCTAAAAATCAATAAACAATTCTTTAAAAATAAATTCTAGTAAAATACTGAAATAGAAACAACTGTGTTGTCATGTTGTAATGTTCATGGGGAAGGCAAGTCAGGCAGGAGTCATAGAAAAAAGTCCTTTAAGAAAATTAAGCTGATAGTGGCATGTTGAATAAATTTGAGGTAGATAGCACATAGGAACCATAATAGGCCTCTGCAGCTATTCTGACCCGAGGTAATGATAAATGCCCTGGTTGGGGTTGCTCCATGGTTACAGCATCAGCCCGAGCATTAAAGGGTTGTGGGTTCAATTTCCAGTCAACAGCATGTACCTGGGTTGCACGTTCAAGTCCCAGCCCAGTCAGGGAGCATGCAAGAGGCAACCAATCGATGTGTCTCCTTCACATTGATGTCTGTCTCTCTGTCTCTTTTTCTCTTTCTTTCCCCACCTCCCTCCTTTCCACGTTCTCTAAAAATCAATGAAAAAAGATCCTCAGGCCTGGCTCGGTGGATTGGGTGTCATCCCATGGACTGAGAGGTCCTGGTCAGATTCCCGGTCAGGGCACATGCTGGGGTTCAGGCTTGGTACCCAGTGTGGGGCGTGCCAGTGCAGCTGATTGATGCATCTCTCTCACATCAGCGTTTCTATCTCTCTTTCTCATCCTCTCTAAGTAAAAAAAAAAAAAAAAAAAAGTGTGTGTGTGTAAATAAAAGATCCTCAGGTGAGGATTATCAAAAATAATAATAATAAATAAATTTTAAAAATCAATGAAAAAATATCTTTGAGTAAGGATTAACAAATAAACGATCAATTATTTTTAAAAAGAGGTAATGAGAACTCAGAAAATAAATGAACAACCCATCTTGGGAGGAAGAAACACAGCTGAAAAACAGGCAGGGGTGACAAACACTAAGCTGAGTGGGACAAAGAAGAGTCAAGAGCAACGACAAGGCTTGCAGCCTGATGGCACTGAATCATACAGAAAGAAAATCAGCAGGCAGCACAGGCTGGGGTGGGGGCTAGATGGGAGGAGAGCATGGGCATGCTGAAATTGGGATCCTGACAAGACACCTAAGTGAATGTGTCAGGCAAGGACCTGATATGGCAAAATGGGACTCAGAGGATCAACAAAACACATGTGATAAAAGTGAGAAACAAACACCACGATAAAAATTATGGAAACTGTGCCAAAACCTTGGGAAACATCTACTTTTAGAGAAGTGGGCAGTCTGAGGACACCTGGCAATGTCTGGTGATATTTTTGTTGTTACAACTTGGGTGGGCAGGGTGCTACCAGTATCAAACAGGTAGAGGCCAAGAATGCTGCTAAATATCCTATAATGCACAAGACAGCCTCCAACAGCAAACAATTATCCAGCACGATGTCAACAGTATCAAGGCTGAGAAGCCTCATTTTGGAGAATCACATGAGAAAGAGCATTTAGAGACAAGGAATAAACATTTACATGTTCGTCCGGCTGGTGTGGCTCAGTAGATGGAGCATTGTCCCAAGGACTGAGAGGTCCCTGTTCGATTCCTGGTCAGGGCACATGCCCGGACTCGAATTCGATCCCCAATAGCCCAATAGGGGGCGTGCGTGAGGCAGCCAATCCATGTACCTCTCTCACATCGATGTTTCTTTTTTTCTTTATTGATTTTATTTTTTATCCTCACCTGAGGACTTTTTTTTTTTTCATTTATCTCCAGACAGAGCGGGAGGGAGAGAGGGGGGAAGAGAAAAACATCGATGTGAGAGAGACACATCGAGTGGCTGCCACCCACATGACCCCAACCGGGGTGAGGGACAAACTGCAACCTTAGGGAACCAAACCTGGGACTCTGTTTCATGGGTGGATGCTCTAACCACTAAGCCAAACCGGCCAGGGCTTTTTTCTTTATTGATTTTAGAGAGAGAGGAAGAGAGCAGGAGAGAGAGAGAAAGAAACACTGATGAGAGAGAACATCGACTGGCCGCCTCCTGCATGCCCCCACTGGGGATCTGGCCCACAACGTGGGCATGTGCCCTGACCAGGAATAAAACTGGTGACCTCTTGGTGCATGGGTCAACACTCAACCATTGAACCACACCAGTCAGGCCTCACATCAATGTTTTTATCTCTCCCTCTCTCTCTAAAAAACATATTTATAAAGAATAAAAATAAAAGACATTTACCACGTTTTAATCCACATTAATTGCATTTAAAAGATATGAATAATGCTTATCTCATGTTCCAAGAAACACAGCTATAACTGGTCTGCAGAGTACTCACTTGGTGAAGTCAGATACCATTTACTTGTATAGTTTTAACATTAAATCGATTTAAAAAAATACGTCTTTCCATGTTCAGAGCATAGATACTGTGTGCAACAGATAGTAAAAGCGCCTCTTTTCTTGGACTAGATTTGAACCTCTTGATTTAAAAGGTTAAAGTCAAGTGTTCATCTACCTCACTAATACCAACATGGTAATAAGTCTGATTTAAATACAGTATGTCTTAAGATTATGCGATTTTAAGGGGGAAGAAAACATACCACAGAACGAAATCGTACAGATTCTATTGGTCCATATTCTTTAAAAAATGACTTCAGCTTCTAAAGGAAAAAAAATGTATACTTTAAATAACTCACTTCCAGATCAAGTGCTACAGAAAGGAATTAAGCAAAACTTTCTGATCATCTTTTACTGACAGGTTTTATTTTAAGAACATTTCAGAAATAGTAGGTTGGAAAACAAATTTTACTAAAACTTAGGATAAAAGAAAAACACATAAGTTCATGTTAGTATCCATAGGTACATAACATTTTTGTATTTCAATCTTGATTATCTTTACCATATGTAAACTAAGGGTATAAATTCCACAGATTCTCTCATCTTTTCACATCGGCTCAAACCAGAAATGAATTTTAATGCTTATGTCACTGTGAGAAATCCCCAACCGTCTGGAATTAGGACAATAGAATTAAAGAAAAGTCTGGTGTGAAGGTTATACATTATTCTTATAACTCACTCAGGATGTGAAGAATGTATATTTTACAGCTAGAACTACAATCAATTCTAATTCGTAAATAATGTACTGAATGTGCAAAGCACCGTACACATTCCCTTCCCCCAAGCCTCTTGTAATCTAACAGAAAGATCAATAACCAAAACTATGCTATAAATGTGTTCTGTTCTACAAAATAATCACAAATAAAATGCTAGGAGACAATAGTGTAAGGGGGAATGGGAAAAAATAGGAAGTCAGTTACCTTGCACTGTTTTAAAGTGGAATTTAATTGTCCTTCAAAAGATGAGCAGAATTTTGGCCCAAGAGACTGCTAACAGCGTGACTATCACGTGAACTCACAGAAAGGAAAGTGCGTGTCTTGGTTTAGTGAGCCACATAAGGGAGAAAACTTAGGATGTATTCATTACACAATAAATATTGATTGAGCTTCTACTATGAGCTGGGCACTGTTTCAAGTGCAAGGGAAAGAGGAGCGAAGGAACGAGATGAACATCTCTGCACACAGTAGCATGTGACAGGAGGTAAAAGCTGGGTTACTGCAATTGTTCAAATAAGATTTGCAAAGCCTGAATTAGGGCAGTGATTGGGAACAGAAAGGAGGGGTGGATGCTAGAAGCAATCTACAGAATAATTTCTACAGTAACTTATAATGACGTTATGTATCAATGCCTCATTGTGTGCTTACTCAATAAAGGAACAGTGAACAAAGTTATGAATTATTTCCTTCTTTGAATCCTTACAATATACAGCTTACACACTCACCTTTTTATTACATGTGATAGGCAAATTCCCCACAAACACAGTTCTGTCATTCTTTAACCTCTCTTCTTCTTGGTTGATCTGAATTTTCTTCCTTTGACTGACAGCCATGTGATCTACATCATCAAGTATTTTTTTATCTGCTACTTTAACACCAGATTGAGAAATTTTCCTTTTCTGCCCTTGTTTCTGGTGAATTTCTTCTTCTAAATCAGCACTTGCTAGAGCATTTTCTCTTTTTTTAAGGAAAAGAAGAAGAAATGAAATGAGTCATGAAAATCAGGTCTTGACAAAGCACAATGATTACAAGTATTTCCCACCTACTTCTGCCTTTCCTAAATAGACACATACCATTCACAAATATGTCTCAACTTTAAAAGTAACATTATCAAAAAGTGACTAATATTTCTAGAGAACTTAAGCTCCATTTTTGAAGATGTTAAAATTGCCAGGTAACAGCAGAACAACAAAAGTTCATTTAAACCAGCGGTCCTCAGAGACCCGGGTTCGGTTCCCGCTAAGGGCGCGCGTACCTCGGTTGTAGTTTGTCTCCGGCCCTGGTCGGTCGTGCGGGTGGCAGCCACTCGATGTGTTCCTTTCACATCGATGTTTCTCTCTCTCCCTCCCACTCTACCTGAACAAAAAAATGGGAAAATGTCCTCGGGTGAGGATAAAAAAAATAAAAAATAAAAATAAATAAATAAACAAAAGTGGATTCATTTAAAGCTCTTGGAGATTTAGTTGACACTTCCCCAATGCCTAGCTCCATTCTCTGCTCTGGAACTCTAGGGGTACTGCAGCACCCCGTGGGGTCTATAAAGTTCAATATGCCTGCAAAATACTTCCTTAGTAAAAGTAATCTGGCCAATATGAAAAATCAAATTTCCTATTTATATTAGTCCTGTATATTTAAAGGACAGCTTGCTGAAAGTAAATTCCAAAATGGCAAATACAATATAAAGTCTTGGGGCACATGGATAAAGTAAGGTCTGACTATCAGTTCAACAAGAAAACTGATTTGGGATCTTAAGGAGTGAGGGGAGAAAAGTAGGAGTCATTCAGTCATTCAATATTTCCTGGGTTCCTTCAAAAATAGAGACAATTAAAGGTCTTTCAGAAGTCCACCAGCTGGTGTGGCTTGGTGGTTGAGCGTCGACCCACGCACCAACAGGTTGCAGGTTCAATTCCTGGTCAGGGCACCTGCCCAGGTTGTGGGCAAAATCCCCAGTGGGGGGCATACAGAAGGTGGCCAATCGATGTTCTCTCTCATTTTTGTTTCTATCTCTCTCTCCTCTCCCTTCCTTGCTCCCTAACATCAATAAAGAAAGAAAATAAATAAATAAATAGCCCAGCCAGTGTAGCTCACTGGTTGAGCACCGACCCATGCACCAAGAGGTCGCCGGCTGGATTCCCAGTCAGGTCACATGCCCAGGTTGTGGGCCCAATCCCCAGTGCGGGGTATGCAGGAGGCAGTCAATCGATGTTCTCTCTCATCAATGTTTCTATCTCTCTCTCCTTTCCCTTCCTCTTTCCCTAAAATCAATGAAGAAGAAAAAAAGAATTATAACTAAATAAATAAAAAGCAAAGTTCATAATAAAATGGTAACATTTACAATACATGGTGTAGAGAGAGACATGAGAGAAACAAGAAAGGTCTCAAAGGAAAGGTAACGTCTCCCACATATTGAGACCTCAATAAATGTTGATCATTACTATTCTTCCACTAAAGCACACATAAGCTCCACTAAGGAGAGGTCCAAGCCCACTCACTGTGGTTTATAAAAGTACCCAGCAGGAGTGAAAGGAAATGAAAGAGTGCAATTAAGGTCTAGAGGACTGAGCCTGTTATGCAAAAGTGTTTAGATTTTATCTCACAGAGGATTGGGAGCCACTGAAAACTTTGAGAATGCCTAAAAAAGATCAATTCAGCAGCAGAGCAGAAGATAATTAGGCAGGGGACAAGGCTGGACAAAGGAGACCAGTAAGGAGACAGTTATAACTGCATGCAGCTGAGAAGGCAATAGGTCGGCCAGAGCAAGGGTGGGGGTGGACAGGGAAAGACAGATTTAAAAGATAATTAAGAGACAGCATCATCAGGACTTGGCAACTGATTAGAGTTAGAGGGGAAAATCTAATGATGACTCCCAAGTCACTGGCTCAAGCCACTGGAAGACTGGTTCCCACTCATGCAGAAAAACAAGTTAATGAGGATAATAAGCCACATCACAAGCATTCTGAATATGAGGTGTACATGAAATATACAGGTACAGATGCCAGTGGGCAAACAGATAAATAGATCTGCAGATCAGGAGCAAGATTAGAATGGTGGCTCACGGGCACAAACAACACGGTCCAGAATGAAGGGTGAAAAAAGGTCATGAGATGACGGCGAACAGAATCCTGAGGAAAATCATCATTTAAGAAGTAAGAAGTAAAGGTACCAACACTATCACTGAGAAGGAACAGACAAAAGAAGAATCCGAAGAGATTCTGCTGAAGAAACCAACAGCTTCAAGAAGAAAAGCAGCCATTTGAAATGTAACAGAAAAGACTTGCACGACGAAGTTTGTACTACCTATTAAATATGACAAGGTCAGGGTGGCTTCAGGAACACTGTTGCAGAAATATGGTCAGATCACATAACAACCAGACTGAAAGTGCATGGAAGAGAAAACATGAAGAGAAAGCAAGCACACACAGACTTCTAATAGTTTGACTATGAAGGGAAGGGTAGAGGGAATGGTGCCAAACAGAGACCCATGAATGTGGACAGGATGTTGTTCGGTTGGATTTCTTTTTTTCAGATGATGCTCTTAAGTACATTTATATGGTGGACCGATCAAAGATATGGGGAAGAGAAGAAAAGGAATATGTATGATGACATGCTCCCTAAGGAAGCAGAAGAGGACATATATAGTACACACAGCACAGGTGACTGAATTAACCTTTGACAAAGAGGAAGACCCCATTCTCTGAGAGAAGGGGAAGAAATTAAGGATATGCATAGATATATTAAGTAGGAGAATAAAATGTAGTTCACAACCCTTAGCAATTAGTAGCTCTCTGAATAGGCAACACGACCACTTGCTGAAAGAAAAGCAAAATAAGAGGCTTGACAGACCTAAGAAAAAAGTTAACTGGGAACATGCGCTGGTATTATTTGGATCTGGATTCAAATAAACTGTAAAAAAGATTTTAAGCTAATGGGGGATATGTGCTCTCTCAATGAGTAAGTTTAAGAAAACCAACTCATCGTTTATATAGATGTTGAAATATTTATAGATGAAACAAGTCTTAGGTTTGCTTCCAAATAAGGAGGGGGAAATTAATGGGTAAAGATGAAATGAGACTGGCACAGAATTAACAAATGCTGTTGTTAGGAACATACAGGATCCTTATCTTTCCAAGTGTTGACTGTGTATGAGGTTTTCCATAATACAAGTTTTTAAAATAATTACAATTATGAAATGAGAAAAAAATCAGGATGAATACTGCAGGTGTAATAATCTGTTTCTTTGCCATCTAAATTCTTTAACTAAGAGAGAGTCTTACCAACCTGCTTGCCAACTTTTTGTCTGCATCAGAAAGTTTCTTCACTTTTACTTTTTTTGCAGGTTCTTGCAAAAGTGGTCTTTGATTTTGGGATGTACTTTCTTCCTCCTCATCCCGTTTCCTTTTTTTGGTGGTTTCCTTTGAAAAGTTTGAAGTTATGTGTGAGACCTCATCCTTCTGAGTAATTAGGGGTCTTTCTAAGTTGGCATCTTTCTCTCCCACGGGCAGGCCCAGTAAAGAAAGGTACTTGAAATTCATCCCATCTGCCCCACTTTAGAAACCATGCCCTGCACGGCAGATTCTTGTTTCAAAGCCGCTCTGAAGGACTTACCTTGGGCACGGGCAGGTACACCGGCTGACGCTGTAGCTCCCCGGAGCAGAAGAGGGCCGCCAGCCGCCCGGGGCGGCGCCCGCCGTGGGCCAAGCTGTCGGCCACCTGTCCCACCAGGTAGTCTCCCTGCACAGGCCCACCGCCGCCGAGGTCTGGGCTCTGCCTGCGGACAGACGCCAGAGGCTCAGCGACACCGCGCCTCCGCTCTCCCGCCCCCCGCCCGAGCCCGGGCCGTGCCGCCGCCACTCACCCCTCCGCCGCACTCTTCTTGTTCCTCCCTGTACTCTTCCCTCTTGGGGCCATTCTCAGCCCGAGGCCTCCGAGAGCCAAACCTGGGGGGCACGCACGTCCGGGTCCTGGCGACTTCCGCCCGGAACCACGCCCCTTCCGTTCCAGAATCCCTGCGGCGGTCTGCGGCGGTCTGCGGCGGAGGCACCAGCGGCGGGAAACGCCCAGAGGCGGGGCCAGCCTCGGGGTCCGTGATCTTCCTGGTTGGTGGAAACTAGTCTTGGAAGTGAAAGGTCTCGCGAGAGCAGCTGAGGTCCGCAGTATGAATGAGAATGAGCCGGGCCGGGTCAGTGGGGGTCAGTTCCAGTACACAGACTGTAGAAACCCCGAAATTGTTGGAGGAAAGAGGTTGCAAGGATGCGGGTAATACAGTGTTAACAACAGGCGAATGGGTATGAAGGGTACATGGACTTCTTCAAACTTTTCTGAAATTGGACATAATTTCAAAATAAAGTTAAAAATAGTTGGAGACAAAAGCCCTAACCTGCGCTGCCCTGCTTGGGCAGAAAAGTAAATGCCTGGCACTCAAAACTGCTTTTTTTTCGTTTTCTTTATTGACTTGGGAGGGAGAGGGAGACAGGGATGGAAACATCAATGAGAGAGAACATGGATTGGCCAACTCCTGCATGCCCCTCACTGGGGATCCAGACCACAACCTGGGCATGTGCCCTGGCCAGGAATCAAACCCGATACTTCTTGGTGCATGGGCTGATGCTCAACCACTGAACCACACCGGCTGGGCTCAAAACTGCTTTTTTATCTGCTTAGCTTCCTAGACTCCTCTCCCTCCAAGCCCTTACATTCCAGCCCCTTTTTCTATTCCTTCCCCTTTTGTTATTACTAATTCACATTATTCATTCCCCCGAAATTGCCCGCTTCCTCTTTATCCTTCATTTCCACCTGCAAAATTTACCCTTCCTTCAAAGACTAGTTCAGATACTATCTCACTTATGAGAATTTCCTGGCATTTACGATATATAATCTTTTTCCAAGCCTCCATGTATTTGCATTAGTGATATTCAGCAGTGTCTTCAGATAAAATGGGTGTCTTATTCATCCCATATTCTCTATCCCAATTTTCCATACCAAGTGAATATTTTAGATAATGAAAAATATTAGATTATAATTAGATAAATCACTGAATTCAGTAATTTGGGGAATAAAATAGGATTTAACTTTGAATCTATGGGAACACACTTGGCTTTTCCGAATCTGCTTAACAGAAATCATTGAGCATATATATGGACTTCTATAGACCACCTCAGATAATTTCATGAAAAAAAAATCGAGCTGCTTGGCCCTAGTTTTGATTTCTGAGTCCCTTATTTTGGTTTTCCATCACTGTGACCTTCACAAAGATGAGAAAAAATCCAACTATCTGTGTCTGCAATTCAAGCATCTCCATCTGTCCTATACAGTCCAATGAAGAAATTCATTCATTCTTCCTTCAGAATGTCTCCCAATCTCATTCCTTCCCTTCTGCCTATTATCACAAGAATGATTTCGTATCTGTGCACTGCAACCTCATCACATCTGGCTTTCCTGATTCTTCCTCCACACATTCCATTTCCAGTGACTCTCCCTTGAATATAAAGGTTTGCATCTGTCACCATCTCATACACTGCCCACTTTAATCTCTTACGCACTTTTTTTCCCTGCCCATAAAATTTTATACATAATTTTATACTTTGTATGTTATTTCCACAACTAAACCATGAAACTATTCTTCTGGAGGATTGCATCTTATACATACAAAACCCATTATGCTGGTCAAAAATGCCAAAATAGCAGGTTAAAATTAAATAAATGATTTCCATTGCTGTTCAGAACTGGTTTTTAACCATTTTGAAATCACTTAACACCCTTTGAAGAATAAAATATAAGAACTCTTTTCATAGAAAAATACAAATGAAAACATGAAAAATGTTGGGGGTTTCATGGAATTAGTTCCATCTTCCCGAACCTCCCGAAGAAAAAAAATCATTAAAATATTTTTTCTTTGATTTTAGAGAGGAAGGGAGGGGGAGAGAGAGAAACAACAATGAGAGAAAACATCGATTGGCTGCCTCCTGCATGCCCTCGACTGGGTGTTTGGCCTACAACCTGGCATGTGCCCTGGCCAGTTTTCGAACTGGTGGCCTCTTGGTGCATGAAGCAATGCTCAACCAGTGAGCCACACCGGCTAGGTATCCAAGTTAAGAAATTTAAGACCTCACGCTCAAGTTAGTATTTCAGTAGAAAAAAAGGTTTTGGAGAACACTGTAAAATAATATATACCATCTTAATTTTATTACAGATTGTAAACTAGGTTGATAAAATATAGTGTGTGTGACCAGTTTCTCCTGAAGTCAAATTATATTAATACAATGAAAAATCTCAAAACTCCATATAGGCCTGGCCGGTGTGGCTCAGTGGTTGAGCACTGACCCAGGCACCAAAAGGTCGCCAGTTCAATTTCTGCTCAGGGCACATGCCCAGGTTGTGGGTCCATTCCCCAGTTGGGGGGCTTGCAGGAGGCGACCAATCGATGTTCTCTCATCTATGGTTTTCTCTCTCCCACTCTAAAATCAATAAAGAAAAAATAAATAAAAATAAAGACAATAAATAAGATTGGCCAGGTGTCCCTTTAAAGGCCTTCGCAAGGTTCTTAATATGTTAGTTAACATAATCTCTAAGGAGGGAATGTGCTATACATAGCATTTCCAAAATACATTTGTCAAAAAATTCCCAGAGCATTGCTGGGCCCAGTATTTTGGGAAGCATTATTCAAGTTTTTGAAACATATCCCTTAAACTAATTTCTGGTCATCTCAAAGTGCCTTAATAAATACACATTAGAGCTTTATAGGCCTTATAACAGTGTATTTTGTTTTGTTTTTTTTAAGAAAGTATTTTCTCTTGGTGGTAAGTTCATTAAATAGGGCGAAATACCTAATAATCGTTCTTAAAAGGTTTGAAGTAAAGCAGTGATTCTCAACCCTGATGCATATTAAAATTACTGGAGACCTTTAAAAAAACCCTCAATATCCAGCCCTGGCTGGTATGCTCAAGGGTTAGAGCATTGGCCCTCAGATCAAAGGGTTGCAGGTTTGATCCCCAGCCTTGGTCTGGATTGTGTGGGAGGCAACCAATCGATGTCTCTCTCACATCAGTGTTTCTCTCTCCTTTCTACTCTATCTAAAAAGCAATGGAAAAATATAGTCAGGAATAACCAAAAACTAAAAATAAATAAATAAAAATCCAGGTACCATACCAGATTAAATAGGACTCTTTTGAGAGTAAAGCCTAATGACTATTTTAACAATGCCCAGCAATTCCAATGTTCAATTAGTTGAGTGCACTAAAAGCATAAGAGAACAATGGTCCATGAAAATTAAGACATTTACCAAAAAAAGGGGGGGGAGTCTATGTGGCTCAGTTATTTGGAGCATTGTCCTATGAACCAGAGGTCGCTAGGGTTCAATTCCCTGTCAAGGCACATACCTAGGTTGCCCATTTGATCCCAGGTCAAAATGCACATGGGAGGCAACCAATGGATGTATCTCTTTCACACTGCAGTTTCTCTCACTCCTCTTCCTCCCTCTTTAGAATCAATTAAAAGGTAAAAAAAAAAAACCAAAAACTGCTGCTGCTAATGGTTTCAAGTATATTAAAGAAAAAAAAAGTTCTTATTTTCTTCTTTAGACAAATCTCCAAGTCTCAGGTATTCATCACGCTCAGACTCAAGCAAAATAATGTATACAAAGATAAAAGAATGTCTAATAGCCCTGGCCAGTTTTGCTCAGCGGGTTAGTGTAGGCCTGCGGTCCAGAGAGACCCGGGTTCGGTTCCCGCTAAAGGCAGGTACCTTGGTTGCAGTTTGTCCCCAGCCCTGGTTGGGTTGTGTGGGTGGCAGCCACTCGATGTGTTCCTTTCACGTTGATGTTTCTCTCTTTTTCCTCTCTCCCTCCTTCTCTCTCTGAACAAAAAATGGAAAAATGTCCTCAGGTGAGGATAAAGGAAAAAAAAAGAGAATATCTAATAAATCCTGTCTCTGGTTAGTGGACTTGTAATTTTTATGGGTAGAACATTCCCCCTTTTGTATGTCAATTAACCCCTCCTGACAATAAAGTATGGAGATGTATGTTCCAATTAGTCATCACATACAGAAATGAATTAAAATTACTTAATCTTGCCCTGGCCGGTTTGGCTCAGTGGTTAAGAGCTTCGGCCCGCAGAGTCCCAGGCCCTGGTCAGGGTTGTGTGGGAGGCAACTAGTTGATGTGTCTCTCTCATGTCAATGTTTCTCTCTCTCTCTTCCTCCTTCCCTCCCATTCTATCTGAAGATAAACAGAAAAATATCCTTGGGTGAGGATAAAAAAATAAAAATAATATATAAAATAAAATTACTTAATCTTGTAGAAACAAAATCAATGATTCACAAACTATGGCATTTTATTTCAGAGCCTTTGCTTACATTTGTACAATATATTACATAATTCTTCATTGTTTGCAGATCCTAATATATACTTTATAGCTTTTATTCTATAAGCTTTTTCTTCAATGTTTTGCTGTCAACAAATCTTTACAGTCCTGTACAAATTTGAATAACTTGAAACCATTTTCAACAAAATTAGTTACTGTAAGCACACACTACAAGACTGAAAATGCTTTTCTTAGAAAAGTTGAATGTAAAGAATTCTGACACGTTAGCATCTACAACAAAACGCTTCGAAATTCTCACGTCGTATTGTCAGAAAACAAATAAAACATGCCAGCTCCATTAAAAAAAAAAGCAAACACAGAACTACAATTAAAACAGTAAAACAGTCTGTACAGTAAAGTACTGTGTATTAACAGTGCCAGGTATTAAATAGCTTGAATGAACACATCCGCAATATACAAATGTCTTACAAAGGGTGTAGAATTAAATACAAGTGCCAAACAGAACAGAGATGGGAATCATACAACATAAAGTCAATACAAGTGAAACAATTCTGCGTTCATTTTGGATTTTATACAAGGCATTTAATTCATAGGCCTACTACCCGGTTATCTATTTATACTTCAACCTTGAACCATACTAATGCAG